AAAAGCTATTACTTGGAGAAAGTGCACGACCTTCTATGGATGTTTTTTCACTACTTTTTGTATGAAAAATTATTAAGTCTATTTATAATATTTAGTGTTATATCTATTGGGTGAGAAAATATTTAATATTTCCAATTTAAACATTTTAAATTTGAATTTTGAACTAGGTGAAAAAAAAGCTTAGCATTTAGTGTTTCTGTACCGGAAAAAAATATATAATAAATTTGATTTTAATATAAAATTATAGATTAAACAAAAATTTTATTTAAAATTATAAAAACATATTTATAGTTGATAAAAAGTAATTTAAATTTGAAATTTAAACTTCGTGGGATGGAAAAAAAAGTTTGAAATTTTGGTTGCTAAACAACTATATTAATATCTCACTACTTTTTGCATAAGTGATTGTTAAGCCTATTAATAATACCATAACTTTCTGCATCAAAAATTATTAAGCCTATTAATAATATTTTGTTAAGACTATTAATAATATTTATTATTATGTAATTAAACTAATGAACGGTCTTTTGATATTATCTTATTCAACTTCAACTATAAACTATTTGATATAATATTAAACGTACGAACTCAAATATTTTCCAACTCTTTATCTCTTATATATGTAACAAATACGCAAACCAAAAAAGTCGATTTAAAAGCAACTGTAAAAAATATAAATATATAGTAATCTAGATCTCACTACTTTTTGCATAAGTGATTGTTAAGCCTATTAATAATACCATAACTTTCTGCATCAAAAATTATTAAGCCTATTAATAATATTTTGTTAAGACTATTAATAATATTTATTATTATGTAATTAAACTAATGAACGGTCTTTTGATATTATCTTATTCAACTTCAACTATAAACTATTTGATATAATATTAAACGTACGAACTCAAATATTTTTCAACTCTTTATCTCTTATATATGTAACAAATACGCAGACCAAAAAAGTCGATTTAAAAGCAACTGTAAAAAATATAAATATATAGTAATCTAGATGCAACAATTAGAACAATTTTATGTGGATAAATATAAAAATATATTATATGCTGAGTGTTAGAGGCAGTGTTGTTAAAATCAGCTCGGACCGGTCGGTTCAATCCGGAAACCGGTGAACCGGTCCGAGCCGCTCAAAGGATTGTTCATGTAACTAAACCGGTACGATCCGGAATAAACCGCCTTGACTCGGCGGGTTTTTGCAAAATCCCGGTAACCGGGGTCGAATGGTATTGACCCGGAGTAGAAACTTTCATGAGGCGGATGAGGAGAGCAAGCTTCACGTCCTTATGCGAAGTCATCTTATATATAAAGAGTGCTATTTCTCTTATTTTAAACGATGTGGGACTCCAGACTTCAGTCTCACTGCAACTAGGTTTGGTCACTTTAACTTTAACGGTGATAGTATTCCTCTTCCACACACTTCCCCAACATTCCCTTACCCTCTTTCTCCCTCAACAGCATCTTCTCCATGTGGACGGACCTCTACATCACTCTTGCACCTAACGACCCATGTGATGCTAAAGGAGAACAAAAGAGAGCACAATGATGGGATCCACGACCTGTGGCTTAAATCAACTCCAATCTCTGAACTGTGGATGCTCTGAAGCCCAAAGGCAAAAACCTTCATCTTCCAAAAGCCGCAGGAAATCATCACCACATGCAACTATGTAGATGATGACCTCAAAACTGTATGCTCATGTTCTAATTAAAATTTTGATGATATTGTTTTTTTTTATAACAGGTCGACCTTCTTGCAAGTTCCCAAGCGTGACTCTGTAAAGATGAAAACAATTTAGGGTGACTCAAGCTGAACAAAGCAAAAAGATTGCTTTTGAAAAACAATAGCTTCGAAATATTGCTTATTTGTATCGGTAGTGGTATCTGAATAATGTCCCAAATAAAAATATTATATTTATACGTTACATCTTTATTGAAATATGATATTTCATTCAAATTAAAACATGCAACTTTACTTTTATTCATAATGAACCACTCTCTTTGCAGAAGGATCTACACCTCTAGAAGATCAATTGTAAAAAGAAAAAACTTCAACAAAAAGCAAATGACCTTCACCGCTTTATTCTCAGATGACCCACTTGTTGCCATTATTTTATTTTTTGTACATGTATTTAAAGTATATAATTTTTTTAATATAAAATTTATAAATTTATATATATTTACCGAGCCATGCGGTTGAACCAGTGACCCAGTACCTCGACCAGTTCAATAACCGGGTCCAGTTTAATAACATTGGTTAGAGGTGACAAATTGTCCCGGAGGGCCAGCTTACCAACTTATTTTTTTAATTAAATTACAATTTCATCATTATTCTTTTATAATTAAATTCATAAATCTCCTCACCAAATTTGTTTTTTCCTAAATCTGATTTCAATTTTTGTAAATATAAATTTGTAAAATTCAAAATACTAAGGACATAAATCCTTGCAAAAAAATAATTATTTGCATAAAATATTGATAGTTAAAGGTTGCAAACTGGGTTTGGCCCGGAGGGCGTGCCCGCCCCGCCCACCAAATTTTTTTATAATTAAATTAAAATTTCATCATTCTTCTTTTATAATTAAATTTCTAAATTTGATTTTAATTTTTGCAAATTCAAATTTGTAAAATTCCAAATACTAACGACACAAATCCTTGCAAAAAATAATTATTTAGTGTTATTTTTTAAATGTGATTGTAATAATGAAAGTTTATCTCTGAGATAAATTATAAAAACCTAAATGCGACTTTAAGAATTTTTGTGTGGATAAATATAAAAACATAATACATGTTGATAGTTAGAGGTGGCAAACTGGGCTCGGCCCGGAGGGCCGGCCCACCAACATATTTTTATAATTAAATTAAAATTTCATCCTTCTTCTTTTATAATTAAATTCATAAATCTGATTTTAATTTTTTTAAAAATAAATTTGTAAAATTTCAAATACTAACTACAAAAATCCTTGCAAAAAACAAATTTTTATTATTATTTTGTAAATATGATTGTAATAAATGAAATTCCACCTCTGAGATAAAATAAAAATCTAAATGCAACTATAAGAATATTTTTTTGTGGATAAATATAAAAATCTATTACATGCTGATAGTTAGATGTGGTAAACTGGGCTCGGCCCGTAGGGCCGGTCTACCAACATATTTTTATACTTAAATTAAAATTTGTAAAATCTCAAATACTAACTACACAAATCCTTGCAAATTTTATTATTATTTTATAAATATGATTGTAATAAATGAAAGTCCATCTCTGAGATAAAATATAAAAACCTAAATGTAATTATAAGAATATTTTTTTGTGGATAAATATAAAAATCTATTACATGTTGATAGTTAGAGGTGGTAAACTGGGCTCGGCCCGGAGGACCGGCCCACCAACATAAGTTTATAATTAAATTAAAATTTCATTCTTCTTCTTTTATAATTAAATTCCTAAATCTGATTTTAATTTTCTTAAATACAAATTTGTAAAATTTCTAATACTAACTACACAAATCCTTGCAAAAAATAAATTTTTATTATTATTTTTTAATATGATTGTAATAAATGAAAGCCCATCTTTGAGATAAAATATAAAAATCTAAATGCAGCTATAAGAATATTTTTTGTGTGGATAAATATAAAAACCTATTACATGTTGATAACGGTGGTAAACTGAGCTCGGCCCGGAGGGCCAGCCCACCAACATATTTTTATAATTAAATTAAAATTTCAACCTTCTTCTTTTATAAGTAAATTCCTAAAATACAAATTTGTAAAATTTCAAATACCAACGACACAAATTCTTGCAAAAAATAATTATTTAATATTATTTTTTAAATGTGATTGTAATAAATGAAAGTCTATCTCTGAGATAAAATATAAAAACCTACATTCCTCAAAAATAAATATATAAAAACCTAAATGCGGCAGTAAGAACCTTTTTTATGAATAAATATAAAAACCTATTATATGCTGATAGTTAGAGGTAGCAAACTGGGCTCGGCTCTCAACAACATATTTTTATAATTAAATTAAAATTTTATACTTTTTCTTTTATAATTGAATTCTTAAATCTGATTGTAATAAATAAATGTTCATCTATGAGATAAAATATAAAAGCTCACACACAACTATAAGTATGCTAAGTTCTCTCCAAACCAAAACAAGCATATTTCCTCCACATTAATTCTTTGCGATATCTGCATGCCATTTCTAGTTTTCTACTCACATCTCATGGTAATGGGTGATTAAGACTTGGCACCTCATTGATTTGACCTATTCCCAAACTAATTAGACTGGTATAGAATCTTAAAATACATAGAAATTTAAGTTTTTTTTCTCTTAAAATAATACTTTTATATAAAAATTATATTTGTGTATTAATATATGATTTATTTCAAAATAAATATTATAACATATTTTAAATTTAATTTATACTATATTAGTTAGCTTAATTATTGATTAAGTCGCTAAAGTTGCAAAATTTGACCTGCGGGTAAAATATCAATCGATTTGTTTTACCCAAAAAAAAAAAAATAATAATATATATATATATATATATATATATATATATATATATATATATATATATATCAATCGATTTCAGAATATATGCATACGGGTAATATATATTTCCAATTTTAGCTGTTAATCTTATATCTAATAGCTATACTTTATTAGATGTCATGATTTTATTAATTTTATTACTTATTAATTAATTAACTCATAATTTTGTACCATCATGAGTACAAATTTTTTGGTATACAGTTAGGCTTTTTTCTTTTTGCTTAATTTTTGGTTTAGCCTAACTCATATTTTCTTTTTTTTCTTGTTTGGCATGCAGTTAGGCTTTTTTTAGGCCTAAACATATTCTATTTTATTAATAATCACCCCCTTATAAATATAAGCAGAGGAATCTATTGGGATACAACCCGTTAATTCCATATATCATTAAATATTGAGAATAGAACACAATATTAATCACCAACTCAATCATAATAATGTCTTCCCATATCTCTCTCATTCTTCCTCGTGTTCTAATCGTTTCTAGACGAACCATTCGTAAGAACAAGTTCGTTGATTTCGTCGGTAATTAATCAAATAAATGCTTATTTTAATATAATTTTCTCCTGCAACACTAATAATACACTTAACCAAACTTGTTCTTATATGTGATTTGTTACAGGGGAATATCACCTTGATCTTATAGTAAGCTATGGTGCAGTTCCTGTTATTGTTCCTCGTGTCTCAGGGGTGCATATGTTGTTGAATAGCTTCGAACCAATCCATGGTGTCCTTCTATGTGAAGGAGAAGACATTGACCCTTCATGGTACGAACAAGATAACACATGTCTTTCTCAGGAGGAGTTGGATGAAATCAGAAGGCTTCATGCGAGTGATACATCCATTGATAAAGAGAAAGACTCAATTGAGTTGAGCCTCGCCAAGCTTTGTCTCGAAAGGAACATTCCTTACATGGGAATATGCAGAGGTTCACAAGTTCTGAATGTTGCATGTGGGGGTACCCTTTATCAGGACATAGGGAAAGAGCTTTCAAAAAATTGTCCTGAAAGCCAAAGAGTGATGCATATAAACTATGATGATTATGACGGTCATAGACATGCTGTTAAGGTTGTCAAAAACACCCCTTTGCATCATTGGTTTAAGGATTCATTGGAAGAAGGGAAAATGGAGATTTCAGTTAATAGCTATCACCATCAAGGTGTCAAGAGATTGGCACAACGTTTTGTCCCAATGGCGTTTGCCTCTGATGGCTTGATTGAAGGGTTTTATGACCCTGATGCTTATAACCCAGAAGAGGGCAAGTTTTTTATGGGATTGCAATTTCACCCAGAACGTATGAGAAAGCTGAATTCAGATGAATTTGATTACCCAGGATGCCCTTTTGCTTATAAGGTTTGAAAAATGGTTACTTTTAATCTATAATTAAGAGAATAATTTTATGATATTGTAATCCGTGTTTCATTGACTGATTTAGCTACTATTTTGAACTTAAATTGTGCAGGAATTTGTAAAAGCAGTAATTGCTTATCAGAAAAGGCTGAATAGTTTTAACATATATTCAAAAGCCTCTGAAGCTTAACAAGGAAATGGAGAACTAAAGTGAATAAATTGCCTGTGTTCATATAGTTTAAGTGCATTGGATTTATGGGGAGACTTAAAGACACCGACAAATATAGACCATACCGTCATGTCTCTGATTTTATTGCTTGGGCTCTTAATTTGAATGCAATCTCAAAGTAAAAACTTTCTATAAGTGTTAGTTGTGATTTTAAAGTGAATTAGTATTGCACTTTCTATTGTGGTTGGGCTGAAAATAGCTAAAAACTGCGGTTGAAATGGGCAAAAGAATAGGCCCAAGTTGGTGAGGTAGTCCATAAATGGTAAAATTGTAATTTTCTTACACTTTTTATCCTGTCTCACAGGAAATTGCCAGGTGGAGTAAGCTGGAGGGTGTTACGGGAAATTTGGACCATGGATGAATATTTTGTGTTGAGATATATAAAATTATTAATATTTTCTCACTGAACAATTTAAGCTTCTGGGTTGAATTAATTATTTACGTTCGACATTGAAAGTACAGCAATACCTAACATAGGGAAGTGTCAGTTTAAGTAGAGGATTTTGTTGTTTTGGAGCGTCGAAAGTGTCAGCATCAGCAATACCTAACACTAGCTAAAAAAGAGTAAATATCTTTTTTGGTCTCTGTCAATATCTACGAAATCTTTTTCAGTTCCTGGCAATATAAAAAAGGACCAAATTGGTCCCTAAATTTATGAAAAAAAGACCACATTAGTCCTTATGTCAACTCCTCCGTCACTAACGTGGCCCTTTTTTCATACTGTTAGGGACCAATTTGGTCTTTTTTTATTGCCAGAGACTAAAAAGAATTTCGTAGATATTGCCAGGGACCAAAAATGATGTTTACTCGCTAAAAAATCTATCTACGATGGAAAAAAATATGGCAACTTTTCTCGTAAGAATAAGGAATCTCACAAAATGACATTAAAAAAAATGAACAAGAGGGAAATTAACAGGTGCTAGTTGCTCTAATTTATATATAATCTTAATCAGTCAAGTAAACCATGCAAAAAAAATTCTCAACTTTTGATAGCATTTTCTATCTTGCAAATACCATGTCACTGGTTTCTCTTTCTTACAATCTCTCTTTCTCACTTTCATGCATTTCCTAAGGTTAATTGTTCTCTCACATGTTTTTTTTCCTAGTCTTTTTTGAATGGCTTCCCTGCTTTTGCTCTCCTCTCCTATCCTTCTTCACTACATAATCATCTTGATATTGATTCAGATTCCTCCATATCTAAGCTCCTATGATTATTATTCAAATTGTTCTAACATGTATAATTGTGGGAAGTTAAGGAACATCAGCTTTCCATTCTGGGGAGAAGATCGTCCAAATGAGTGTGGCCATCCTTTGTTACATCTCAATTGCACAAATGATCAAACCTACATATCCATCAATGACATCAAATACAAGGTCTTGGATGCCAACCAAGATAACCAGACTTTGAGAATTGCTAGAGTTGACTACTTGCAAGACCTATGCCCATTAAAATTTCTCAACACCACCCTTGATCCTGAGTTGTTTGTTTATGGACCAAACTATACAAATATTACCTTCTTCTATGGTTGTCATGAATCAAATCCTTTCCTTAATTTCAGCCCTGGACGTTTTCCTTGTACCATGAATATTGGGAGTATCAATGTATATGTCTATACTCAGTTTGAGGCTTTAGGTCCTAGCATGCTTTGCAATACAAGCGTGGTTGTTCCAGTTCAAGTTACATTATCATTGCTTGATATTGGGAATGTAACCAAAATACAAGGGGCACTCACAGATGGATTTGAAGTGAGATGGATAGCTGGTGTTGTAGAATGTGAAGACTGTAAGAAATCAGGTGGGGTATGCGGTTATGATTTGAATTCAAATCAAGCAACATGTTACTGCAAATCTTCAGACTCAGGGTCCATAACTTGTCCTTCTCCAGTTCAAGGTATGTTTAGCTTTTACAACAGTATTTTCCTTTTCTTTCTGGGGAAAATTAGATTTGAAAACCAAAAAACAACTTGTGTGAGGTAATCAGTAATGTAAATGTTATGTTCAGTTTATTGACAGTGATTATGTAGTACCTTACTGATAAAAAACCGTTTATCTAGTCCCTCAGGGTCACTCTAATTCATCCCTTAAATTTTTATTTTCTTTGTTCTTACTAAACCACTTATTTGGTTGATTGAGTCTAATTGGAATCCCAACCTAACCTTGGCTTGGAGAGCCAAATACTTAGTCCATTTTATTATATATTAGAAAGTCATTGTCTAAACTTGAAGCTAAATTTTTTTATCCATCTCTCCTGATATGTCCCAACCACTTCAATTATCTACCTGTCATTTTTCCATTGAACACGTTATTTTTAACATTTTTTCTCGGGATAAGTTATATTTACAAACTCAAAGTTTACAAACTCTTACAAACTACAATATGTATTAGGGATAGGTTATTCTCCAATACTGTTAGATCAGAATCTCAAGAAGAGAGAGAAAGATAAATGTTAGTTAAGATTATGATCTAACGGTGTTGGAGAGTGGTTGGCAAAGGTAGGTAGAATAACCTATCCCTATGTATTATGGGTAGTACATATTACTACATGCTTAAATAATATATACTATTTATAGTACATAGTATAATTATAAGAATTTATAAACTTTGAGTTTGTAAATATAATCGTTCTCTTTTTTTCTCAATACCTAAAAAGAGTCTACCACTATTTTTTTTCGTTTTCTATGAATATTTTTTTCTTTCAATATTGCAACTTTCGTGTAACTCAGTCAATTGGCAATATTTTTTCTTTGGAGGAAAAAAGTAAATATTTTAGTCATAAGATTGAGATGCTTGCATCAGACCATTCCATCATTTTGTATGTTTGCGTTATTTCTATTTATCTTTTCCTTGTAGGTCCCTTTTTCTTGTCTTTTTTTCTTAAGTCAAGTGTGACCCTTTCAGCATGCATATGCAACGAATAGAAATATAGCATTAGTATTAAAAAGGCTATCAACGATTTGGTCACCCACGCAATCTTGCTATGCCAGCGAAATTTTTGTGTCATACTTGCTCACCATTCCTCCTTAATTTATTTATCATAGGGAAATGATCCGTTTACAAATTTTTTTTATAAATTACACTAAGTATGACCGGTCATACACTCTTGATTAAAGTATGACAGGTCATACTTAGTGTAATTTGTAAACAAAAAGTTTATAAATATAATCTCCTTATTTATCATATCCTTAGTTTCAGTTACAATCTGAAGTCCGAACATTTTTAAATATTTTAGGATCCCAATGAATCATAATTGCTATGGGATTTATTAGTTAGTGGTATAACATGCAGAAGGATGGTGTGTGTACATGCACATTGGGCCTATTATGTGAGTCTAGAGTAACTTTGAAATTAGAAAAACTAGAAATCAGAATTTTAATGTGAAACATGAATCACATGATGCAATCAATATATAGACTAAAACAAATGAAGTTCATCCCATCAATTCAATAGTGCAAGTTTGACAAAGACAATTCCAAGGAACATGAAACCACATGCCATCAACTGATGCAATATATATAAATTTAGAAATTATGATAATTAAACATAGTAAAGGGATCCTTTCTTTCCTTCATGTGATATCCTCTTTCAAATTTCTTCAATAAGCAAGCAAGATGTGGACTAATTATATGTTATCTTAGTTCTTTGATTTGCATCTTCCTTAATTAATACCAATAATGTTTTCAGTCCTCCCTGCTACCTTGGCAAAATGTCAAACATTTGACAAGTTGGCAGCTGATGAAGAATCATTAATTAAATTGTCCAATTTTTCTTGTATATTTTAAGGAGGATTAGTAGTTATGACTATCCCTTGTAACTTAACTTGCAATTATGTTAAATTTACAAATTTGACCCATTCAGTTAAAAATTGAAGTGTTCTTATTTGCTGTCAATATCATTTCTTACTACCTTTTCCGGTTTTTGTTTGATTCCTTGTTTTGCCATCTTTGTTTATTTTCTTAATGTTGCAGGTAAAAAGTCCAAGGTAGTAGCTGTTGGAATAGGTAACTTTCATTTTTGTTATAATTGAGTTTTAATAAAGATCATTGAGTTTTGTAAATGAAGTTCACTAATTTCAAACTTTAGCCTCAGGCATTGTTGCTGGAATTCTTCTTGGATGTTGGGTGTACTTGCAACGAAAAAAAAGAATTGTTGAACAATCTAAAAGCAAGGATCTATTCATTCTTCCTTCAAGCAATGGCACTGTAAACTCAACAACTAATGTGTCTTCAAGTATTTCTTCTTATCCCTCCTCCAAATCTGACTCTGTGCAGAAGAGTTTATACTTTGGTGTCCATGTGTTTAGCTATGCTGAACTAGAACAAGGTACAAAAAAATTTGACCCTTCAAGGGAACTTGGTGATGGAGGATTTGGCACTGTTTACTATGGTAAGCAAGATAATTTCCAGTGTACCTTAGTAAGTTTCTCATACAAATACAAGTCATTATTCAAATTCCATTAACTATCTTGTAAAAATTCTGTCAGGAAATCTCAAAGATGGACGTGAGGTTGCAGTGAAACGCCTTTACGAAAGAAATTTGAAACGTGTTAGTCAATTCATGAATGAAGTTGAGATTCTAGCTCGGTTAAGGCATAAGAACCTGGTTGCACTCTATGGATGCACCTCTAGACAAAGCCAAGAACTTCTCCTTGTTTATGAATACATACCAAATGGAACAGTTGCTGACCATCTTCATGGAAAAAGAACAAAGTCAATGTTACTTCCTTGGCAAGTAAGATTGAACATTGCAATAGAAACAGCTGAGGCATTGTCCTACCTTCATGCATCAGATGTCATACACCGTGATGTTAAGACCAACAATATTCTCCTGGATGATAAATTTAGTGTAAAGGTTGCTGATTTTGGTCTCTCAAGGTTGTTCCCAAATGATGTAACTCATGTGTCAACTGCTCCACAAGGAACACCTGGTTATGTGGACCCTGAGTATTACCAGAGTTACCAACTCACTGATAAAAGTGATGTTTATAGCTTTGGTGTGGTTTTAGTTGAGCTTGTATCATCATTACCAGCTGTTGACATCACTAGGCATCGCCATGATGTGAATTTAGCTAACATGGCTATTAGTAAAATTGTAAGCCAATCACTGCAAGAGTTGGTTGATCCATATCTTGGATTTGAAAGAGACTATGCTATAAGACAGATGATAACAGCAGTGGCAGGGTTGGCATTTAGGTGTCTGCAGGAGATAGACATGAGACCCTCCATGGAAGAGGTGTTGGAGGTTTTGAGAGGAATCCAATATGAAGGATATGATGCTCATAAAATAAAACAAGTTGTGGATATTATTAGAGCAGATGAAGTTACACTTTTGCAGAAAACTCATTATCCCTTTTCACTAGATTCAGTTTCTGATAAATGGGGTTCCTTATAGCTCCTAAAATTTCCCTTTTACTAAATCTTAGATTAGATACAGTATAGTTATTCTCCACTCATAGCAACTGGTGCTGAAGATGAGTTGTAAGAGACTCAGTAAATGATTTTATCAAAACAGATTATATAAGAGAAATAATATTGTTTACAAGAAATATTTTTTTTTGTTGTGTTATATATACATTTGTGTGATATTTTGTTATTGTTATTATGATGTTTTCCCATAACCGAATTATTTTGTCAAATTCCTATATACGAAATAATGATAATGCCTAATGCATTGATATGGAAGAAGTCAATATTAATACAATAATTGATATTATAAAATTAATTGAAGGCTCCAAAAGAGCTATTTTATGATTACCCAAGGAGACCAAATTGGTTATAAATACTATCACGTTAGAAGCTACAATCCTTTTAAAACTTAGTTACGTGATTACAATATTATCTACAATTTCAATTAACATTTTATTTTATTCTATGAATAGCACTAGTCATATTTGAAGAGTTTAAATTTTTTTAAAAAATAACAATAATACGACTCAATTTTTAAAAAATATATATATAATAAAAATTAAAGTTACTATGAAGTTAAAAAATCAAATTTAATATATCAGAGTCGATTCATTGTCTAAATAACCACATCTCTAGAACCATCCACGATGATAGCTTATCAAAGAATTAATATCTGCACATAAATACATAATAAATTTTACAGCATAATTTTCTCGATTTTATGTACCTGATAAGTCAAAAATCAAATCTGAAAATTAAAAAAAAAATAAATAATTCTAGAGAGGAACATGTGCTAGAAAATCGGTTTATAAACCACTCTGCATGTATTTACCTTAAAAATAAAATAAAAATAAAATAAAAAATGTTGCATGTCATGGCTCCCATAATTATAGGAGGGAGTAACAGAGCAGTTAGAGATAACTTTTGGTGATAGCCTCTTCCAGCTCTTGAAAGTCCCATGCATCATCCGCTAAATATTGCCCTGAAAAGGACCATACTTGATTTAATAAGAGTTTTACACACATATTAACATAATCACTCTTGAAGGACAGTAGATAAGGCCACTTACCAATTGAATCTCTTCGGAGAGCAGTTAAATGGGCACAGCTGCAAAATTAAAGCAAATTGTCAACAATATCATCACAACTTTGATGTTGGAGATTATAGTGTTTTCTGATCTTCTTGAACATCCATTCACACACACATTGAATATTTCAGCCTAAACTTAAAATCATCGAGTTCACTAGAAACATACACCTCGTGAACCCAAGCATGTTAGTACATATGCACCAGGACATGTTTAAGCATCTTGAATATTGCCCAATCATAAGCATATAGTTTTTAGTCTTCGTTGGTAGCAAATTACAAATAGAACTCAATATTAGCATGAAAGCATCAACATTATAATGTCAGACTCACAATATTTCTACATTTCAAGTCGTACTTCTTGTTATGAAGAAGAAAATTTTTAAATGAAATAAACTAATACCTGCCAAGAGCCTTCCCCAAATCTGCACAGAGTGACCGAATATATGTCCCTTTAGAACATGTCACTCTAAAAATCAAATTTTGCCTGGAAAAATACAACTATATCAGGGTAAAAAAGAACAAATCAACCACAAACTCTAAACAGATGATTCCCAAAAATATTTTTGTAGAAGAAAGCTCCCTCTAGGTAAAAGCTTTTATTTGGACAATGATGCCGAATGTGGTTTAAACAAATAATCCGTTATAGGTGCAAAGGTCACATAAGGATTTATCTCCAAACCTTTGTATTTTATGTTTGGAGCTAAAAGAGTAGCAATCATTCCATTGGCAGGTATTACAAACTTTTTCCTACTTTTCAGGGGATGAGTATACCCTGCCACTTTGAGGAGTTTCTACCATTTAAAGCCCCTTTTTTTTGGCTGGCAGACAGATTTGTTGTACTGCTCTTGTGGCCAATGAATTTGTTGAGATTATAAGAGGGGGAAAGTGTTGAGGATTTGTACTCAAATTGGATTTCAAGAATGCTCGTGACAAAGTCAGTTCAGGTTTCTTGATTAAATAATTACTAGCAAAGGATTTGGTGATCAATGAAGTGCATTGATGTTGCTTTTTACCAGTGTTGATTTCAACTGTTTTCAATGGTCACCCTGTATCTTGATTCAAGGGAACAAGAGGTTTAGACAATGGGGTCTTCAAGACAGTTACCTGTCATTCAAGCTACGCTCTATGTCAAACAGGAAAATTGAAATTCGTCTAGGCGAAAGTTCAATACTTTCTCCTCTCCTTGCTTTGTCATACATCTTTTCACCTCCAACCTATCATGAAGCAGTGATAACTTAATTAATATAATCCGTAAAAGTTGCCTCAAAATAATTAACATCAAATGCTAGTGTTTTGAAAGGAGACACAACAACGAAAGTCTTTTTCCCACTAGGTGGAGTCAGCAACATGGATCAAGCAATGCTATTATGATCTGACAAAGCAAGTCTTCTGAAATGAGAAACATGAAAAATTCTACGATGCTGAATTGTTTCAGAAAAGAAGCACAACGCTGATCATGTTGACGCATAAAAGCTAAATTTACATTTTTAATACCTTAAATATTTAAACCAATAAATTAGTCTCAATTCACACCATTTGAAAATAAGTAACTAATTTAATACCTTAAATATTTGGATCGCTTAAAAAGCAAAGAATACTTCAGCCCCCCAACCTCAAAACTCAAAAGAAATCATGAAAATCAAATGATTCAAAAATGGCAGAAGTTCTTACTTTGATAGCAGAGAACATAGGAGGAACTTGCCAGATCTCCCCACAAAAGGACAAAGCATTTTTCTTTATGTCCTCGTCTTTGATGTGCTCCCATGGCTCACGCTGAATGACCTATATATCAAGCTGGCCTATGAGTGAAAAAATTAAACATGGTTGAAATCTAAACATATATATTGCCATATTAATTGCAAATTTTATTTTTGCTTATCGTGAGTCGCATCACTATGACTTAAGTTCATCAATCCAATCCAAGCTTGAATTGATATTCTTCTTTGCCATTAATACTTGTATAATGATCTAAAAATACTCTTATTACACCATATTCACTATTTTGAACATTGTTCAAGCACTGAATATGATTACAGTATGCAGTTACATGCTCCGTGCAAAAGTTGTGGCTTTAGTCATAGATATAGACATATTTTGATCAAATATGTATTATGTTAGTCAGCCTCCTTAATGAAAGTGTTTTACAGTTGAATCCTAGTTAATCTCTATTCTTATAATAGACTTTCAGTCTTTCAGCTTAAAGTTGATGACAGGCCTGAGCTGTACTTTGTTAACGACTCAAAGAATTCACGCTAGAGAGCATCTTAAAGATGTAAAAGCACCAAATGATGGTAGCTCAGTTGGCGCTAGGGAACTGAGTAGGTGGGGGTGAGAACATGCGTTCGATCCTTTTCAGTACCATCTTTGAGAGGGGTTTAAAGCCTTAATTCCGGAACCCGCCCCGAATCGAACTAGTTGCAAAGCGATAAACCGAATGGAATATCTCAAAAAAAATAAAAATGTACAAGTCATTCTTTAACCTTTGCATAATAGCTAAACCTTCCACGTTGAGAGGTTCTTTGTGGTTTTAGGGTTGAGTGATTCTTTGAGGTTTCAAAGTCGAGTTGAGTGGTTGTTTAATGTAGTACTGAACCAATCTTTACAAAATGGTCCAAACATCAACCGTTACTGCTCCCAATCTTGCAATTAAGTTAAATTGTAGACAAGGTAATGGTAGGTGGGCTTCTAAAAAAAGGACAGTCTACTGAATGCTTGGTGGTTTAGTCATAGGAATGATTCTGGAAGCATTACATACTCTCATAATCAATGAAGACTCGAATTTTTGGGTTCTCCTATTTGAAAGTCTTACTAAGAGAAAGTTTCTTATTTCCAATAGAAAACTTAGAATGAATGGATTTGTTATGGACCTGACAAAGGCCCATATTCTAGAAGGACCAATAAAGGACAACACAAAGAGAAGGGAATCTCCTATTAATGACGATCCTATCCAGACAGCTAAGCAGTTGGACTTGGGCCCCCAATATTCCTAAGAGGCCCAGAAGTACCCTCCTTCAGGTAACCCATCTATAAATACGGGGTTAAACCAATAAGGTACACAGACTAAAAACCCTCTCTTAGCTTGTCACTGTGCACACACCCCATGCCTTGACTATGTCGTTATACTATAGTGCACAGTGATCTGCTTATCTTTAGGGTACCTCTCCTATAGGTACCTGAGGGAGGGTAAACAGATCCAATATTAACATACCAATCTATGATTGGACATCATGATCTATCAAATCATAACAGGATTTGATGCTCATTCACAAAAGTATTCTGAGAACAGTGTATCACATCCTAAGAAATATATTGGATGTTCTCGTAGCTATGCGATTATTCAAAGAGAAATTATTCGTATCATAGTCGAATTGTTCTTTAACAAACTCATTGATTTATTTTATATATATATGCTTTAATGTTTCTACAGTGAATGTAGATAAGTTATCTACATTCGCTCCCAAAACGACGTCGTTTTGGGTTGAAAAATTAAAAAACTATAATGAAAAAGACTATTATAACCCTGAAATAAATTATAATTACAAAAATATCTTGATTTCCGCCTCAAAACGACGTCGTTTTGGGCTCAATGTAGATAAGTTAGAAATCTACTAATCTGCAATAATGCAGCCTTGAACTTAAAAGAATTAAGTTATTCAACTTATGAATAACAAGTATTGGATTTGGGGGACCTGTTTCCCTCTTTGCCGAATTTGTTATCATAATGGATTCTCATGATTACTTCCATGTGAATTTGTGATCTGCCAGTTGATGGGCAAAAGTAATTTTTTTTTCCTGGTTCATAAACTTACACGAGAAAAACAGATTAACTCACTGGTGAATCAGCATCCCATGTTGAAGTAGCCTCCCCTAGGCGGAAAATCCCACTATAACCCTTAATCATCCCTTGATATCTGAAGGAGAAAAGTGCAAATATTCAGAAAAATTACTCAGATCAAACATTTAAACAAAAACAAAATACTTGGTACTCAAATGGAAATAAATCCCAATTTATTTTTAATCACCTGTCTACCAGTTTTGTTGCTTTACCAACGCAAACAATCAATAAACCAGTAGCCATTGGGTCAAGAGTTCCAGCATGGCCTACCTGTAAATTAATCATGTAAGTCTACAAGGAGAAGTACATTTAAAAATAGATGCGCCGTGGAAAAGAACCTTCTTCACTTTGACGATGCGACGAAGCTTTCCACAAACTGTGAATGAAGTCCAACCTGCCATAAATTTACATGCCAGTTTTATTTTTATTGACACACCCAAAATAAAACAATAAAAAACAAAAAATGACGCTTCCAAGCATTTCAAATTTACAATATTCAAGAACGTATTGCTGCATAATTGACAACTTGAGTAAAAGTTGCACCAATATCTACCAAATAATTAAAGATGTCAATCAAACTAATATCCTATGAAATCAATAAAAATGAGACCAGGAAAACAATGAATTTTAGACAACATGAAACATTAGCGCTGCAGTATGTGCATATGTCAATGTCACTTAGTCATAAGGACTAAATATCGTATTTTTTTCCTCAAACTTGGCAACTTGCATTTAACAACAATCATTAGCTCTTGTACTTCCCCAGACATAAATCCAGTTTTATTGTGAACCACTGGGAGGGGACTGGCCTGTTAATATCCTGAAAAGAGAAATGAAGCTAAGTGTAACGTGAACTCACCTTTGGGTTTGTTAACCAAAACCACAGTGCCATGTGGACTATCCCATATGGGAGGGAGGCCAGTCCTCCTTGAAGAAAGATATGGCTCTTCAACTTGTGCATCTTCATTGGGAACTTTCTTCAAGCCCTTAAAGAACTCCTCAACCTTCTTTTCCGTAAGATCTTTACTTGCATCACCATCACCCTTCTCTTTTTCTTCTTCCCCTTTCTCCTCAAAAAACACCAACTTGTTATCACCACCAACACCAACCTCATCTTTCTTCTCCCTACTACTAACACCACCAACTCTTTTCCTAGCCTTGTCCTTTCTATTTGCATCTGCATTTGCATTTGCATTTGCATTTGATTGTCCTGATTGGAGAAACGCTTTATCAAGGCATTGGTCAGGAAAGTACTTCTTCTCCAACTGATAAACCATCTTATAATGCTTATCCTTCTCCCAAGGATACGCAAACGTGTCGTAGAAATACAATTCCTCTTCTCTTCTGTGCAAAGTGGGAAACTCAACCACCTCAGGCTTCAATTCAACGAAATTATCCTCGGGTCGGTTACCCTCTTCATCAGATTCCGACCCATACATCCTCTTCCTCCGTTTGTTGTAATACTTCCTCTTGGCCTTGTCAAGTTCCAATTTTTGCGAAGTGGGTTGGCCCGGTTCGGCCTCGGAAGCCAGTTTCCGGTCGACCCAGCTATCTAAACCCAACTCGGAAGTGGGTTCGTCCGGTTCGGAAAAAGTCTCAGAAGGAGAGTCATTTCGTCGAACAGGTCGACGGCGTGTTTGATTGAGGTCAGAGTTGATTGGACGGTTGATGATCATATCGTACTGAAGCGGATAACGGGTGGGATTTGTGGAGAGAAGACGCAAGCATTGGGTTGGTCTGGCCAATCTAGCAGAGGACATGACTTGGCCAAGTGTTATAGATAATGATTTTGCCATGTGCAACATGTGCAATTTGCTGCTACCTCTGAATTCTCAGAAAATAAAGAGAATGAAGAACAGAGGTTGCTGCGTCTTCTCAGAATGAAGTGTGATTTGAGTGTTGTGTGCACAAATGCTCACTTAAATCATACATAACCAAGACATATGTGCTCGCGCGATCTGTCTACAACTAGAGGTGTATTTATTAAAATAACATTATAGGTTAACGGGATTTATTAATCTCCTGTTAAAGAAGATAACTTATCTCATGTTATAGATTTGTGAGCTTCATCACTTGAAAAAAAAAAAAAAGATGGCACAGTTATCGAAGGATATGTAGACAGTTATTGAAGGGTATATAGGAAAAAAATTTACACATATAATATGAGAATAGTTTTTCCCTGAGTTAAAAGAAAAATTATTTTGGAAATTATTTTCTTATGTGAACCATCAAAATTTGTGCTATTTTTTTATTTTTTTAATAAATAATGAATCTCATCACTTATTATGTCTATAACATAAACCATGTTATCTCATGTAAAAAAGAGAAGTCGTAAGTTAAAATGTGAACAAATATCATTTCATCACTCTGTTAAATAAGAAAATGCTTTCCCGCCAAACAAAAATAATAATAATAAGAGGGTTAGGATCATTTTACACCAGTGTAAGTTACACTCTTAATCTTATCCGTTGATCCCACTTATATCTATGAGCTCAAATTTTTTAATAACTTGAACCATTAGATACAAGTGGATCAATGGTCAAGATTGAGTGTAAGACTTCTAACTCTTACACCGGTGTAAGAATATCCTGCCCCATAATAAGAAAATGCTTTTGTAATTATTAGGCCAAGGTTTTTTTTATATAAAACCCAATGCTTTCCAAAAAAAAAAAAAAATTGGTAAACTTTTTTTTATAATTGCCTAAAAAGATTATATTCTTTTCATCAATTCCTTTATTAAAGAAAAAGAAAAAGTTTTCTTATTAAATTAGGATTTAATATTTCTAATGTTATAACCGATAAATTATCTCCACATATATAAAAAACGTACGGAGTTCATATTTTCTCTATCTCTCTTTTCTACTCATTTGTATTCACATAGATTTCATATATTTTTATATATAAAAATATAAATTTATCTCCTACAAAATAACAAACAATCCATCTTTAAATTTATCTATAAACAAGTAGCAGCAGAGAAAAGAATATTTTCATTACAAAGATCTAAAACATAATAATAAAGACAAGATCTAGAATGTTGGAGGGAACTAATTTAAGACACGTAATTAATCAAAACACATATTAATTTATTTATTTATCGATTGTGTGATGTTTACATTAGAATGCAAGATAGGGTGTAAACAGGATACGCAAGTATAAGGATCTACGGCTTAATTTATATTAAGTCAATTTTGACTTATTATAAATAGTTAAATAGAACACGTCTAGATTTTTTAAAAAAGTTATTTGGAAAACATGTCATAAGCCTTTTCATACATGTAAGATCTGCAATCCAACAAGTCGACCTATATCATATTATTTATTTTAAATAAAATAAAATAAAATAATTATTTTAATAATTTGAATATTAAATAATATTATATTAATTATTTTTTTAATAATTAAATGTTTAATTGATTTAATCATGCTAACAACTTTGTTAAATATAAATCAGATAGATTTATAATTTAGTTATGGGAAAAGTATCTATCATTTAAAATTACACAACTTACATCCTTTCACTCTCACAAAGAGGTGGGACCTACACCTTTATTTTTTTTTGTCAACTCTCTCTCCTCCTTTATCTATCTCTTTCTCTCTCTTAAAATGACACAACTTTACATCTTTTAAAATTATAGACACTTTTCCCTTTAGTTATATACAAAACTAACGAGCCAAGTCATGCTTAAGTGGTTTTACATAAACAGGATCTATTTAAGTTAAAGAATAATCTAACCTTACTTATTTACACCCATCAGTAGCCGTGTTAATTTTGAAGTTTGAAGTACTAGTGATGATGAAAATAACTGACAAAATGAAAAAAAGGCATAGAAATTAGAAACTAGAAAATAATAATAAATAAAAAAGGCACAAAAAGAAAGGGTATCTTACCTACAATAAGAACACAAATAAAGAATAGAACGAGAGAAGTCAAAAAAAAAAAAATCCCTTTTGTGTCTTTGTGGAATGGAATTGGAAGATGAGGAATGGGAGCTCTGCAACGACGATGGTTTCGTCTACAAGCGCAAGAGGCGCCGAATCGATCCTCCTTCAGCTGCGGCGGAGACGGCGGGGGCGGAGGCGGATCAGGAGAAGCGACGGAGAGAGCGGAAGAAGCAGACCCTATTGAAGCTGAAAGCTAAGTACGAGAAGGAAATTCGCGAGTGGGAGTTATTGTCGAACACCTTGCGGTCAATGCAACAACACAAAGCTCTACAGCTTCAACCACAACCTAACCAAAACCCATCACTTCCTTCCACTTCCACTTCTTCCTCTGGTGGGTCCCTCCTCCATGACCTTCTCTTGCAGGTAACTTAACTACACCTCCCTCCAATCTCCTTTTTGGGATATGCAAGAAATTTTCAAAATGTTAGACTATTAGAAACTGGGTCTAAGATTTGCATTCAAAAATCCATTCTTTACATCTTGTATAGCTATAATAGAGTTAATTAAGCAGTTTCAAAGCCATGTAGAAAAATATTGTAAATTCTGTCTGTCCATAACATGTGTGTGCTGAAACTCCTAGTTGACCTAATTGAATGCATAGGAAAGAGTGTGAAGTGAAATACATATAAAGAAAAAGTGAGTGAGTGTCATTTTAAAGAATGTAAAGTTATCTCATTTTAATAGAGAGAAGGAGATAGATAAAAGAGAAAAGGAACTTGACAAAAAACAAATAAAGGTGTGGGTTCCACCTTTTTGTGAGAGTGAAATGATATAAGTTGTGTAATTTAAACGGATAAACATTTTTTCCAAAGAAAAATGTCTTCAGAGTGAATGGAGTAATCCATATTTGATTGTCCATTGAAGTCTTGTAAGTAAATGGAACATCCTTTGTGTAATTAATTTTATTAGCTTCTTAATTTAATTGCATATCTAATGAATAGTGATAAGCTTACTCCATCTAATTTAGTAATCTTAATTAACCATACAGGTTGAAGCCCAGGAAGCAATCATTCGTGATATCTCAAATTTATGCGACGTAGCAGAAGGAGTGTGCTTTAAACGAGAACAACAATTTAAACAATCGTTGTTTGATCTTCCAATCTGGGCTTCACCACTTGAGCTCATGCAAGTGCTATGTGATGATTGAATCAGTTTCTCTTGTGCATTATTTCTCTTGGTAATATGAGTGTGAAGTTGAAAGGATGGTCTTAACATCGTTCAACAATCAGTTTCATTAATTGTAACTCTCTAGTTAATACACTAATGTCATGTAGATTAGACCTTTGGCAGATTGCTAAATATTTTTAGATTGATTGTATTTTAGAGCATCAAACTTTTGGGTTGAGTCATGCAATTGGAATGACCGTAAGATAAATGTAAAGAGTGGGAAGGCAGTCTCTCCTTATTAGTCTCCAATCAAGGAAGAAATTGAATTCTGTAGTTTTGTATTAGTATAAGGTTCATTAACTTGAACAATTCCATGCCTTGATGCGATTTCTTACTGCATTTCTTTTAAAATGATAAAACACCGCATTTGTTTATTCTTTTCTTTTTTTTCTTTATCCCCCAATAATATTATAAGTTTGGACTCGCCGCTCGAAAATTGAAGACTTTAAACCTTTCTCCAAAATAATTCATGCCATGGTCGAAGATATGATATCATGAATTCATTGTAGGACACCCTTAAAAAAGTATCTTCGAAATTCTTTTTTTCTTAGTCCTCAACTAGTAATTGGAGTAATAAACACAAACAAATCACAAATGCGGGACTCTCCCAATATTTTAAAGAAATTGTCAAACATAAATCTCCGCACATTAAAATAAAAATGCAGCTCATATTTAACAAATTCAATCCATATTTTTATTTTAAAAAAATCATCAATAAACAACATATCTATCAGAGTTTGAAAATTCTAACTTTTCTTCAAAGAAATGGAAATGTTTCATCCTGAAAACAACTGATTTTCAAACCCCAAATTAGATTAATTCATTTCCAAGGTTTTCAAGTCAATTTCATTTAGACGAGAAGGAAAATGTTCAACGGGTTGTATGACAAATCCTGCTTTGTGGCATTCGTCCTCGAGAAGCTTTACTTGAGAAGTCCCCTCAGGACAATATGCGACAACAGCTCCTCCGCTACCAGTAAATTTTGACGCAGCCCCAACCTTTCTAGCAACCTCTATCATTTGTATGTTCAGAGCACCAAGAGCTTCATCTCCAAACATTAACCTGTACAATATACCAACAACAAAGTTTAATAGAATCTCCACAATTTCAATTTTCCCATGCCTTTGATTTGTTAGAGTAAACAAAATTCATGATTTGCAATTTTTTAATAATACAATATAACACTAGTTAAATCTTATATATATGTAACCTGAACACTAATTCAAGTACAACATTGATATGTGACAGAACATACAGGCTCATCCTGGAAAATGTTTAAATAAAATGCTTGTGTAATATTCCAGGGAAAAAAAATATAATATAGATGATAGGAGAGGCATAAGCCGAGAGGACCCTTAGAACCTATTTGATGCTAAAAGCTACTTTTAGGTAGTGTTTGGTAGAAGATTTATTTTGGGATTGATGAAAAAGTATAAGTGGATATTGAAAAATACCACGTTTGGTTCAGGTTTTTGAAAAAAATACTGGGCAAATAAGATAGATGGAGAAATGACTTTTTTGTTGATTTTTGAATGAAATTCACTGTTACAGAATACCACTTGAGATGTGGTATTTTGAGATAACTGAGAAAGTGAAAAAACAGGTGCGAAGTTTCTCCCGAACATAGATTTTGCAAATTTAAATAAATTTCCTTGGTAATATTTCGGTCAACCAAACAACTTTTTTTACATTTTCCTACCAAACTCACTTTCCAACCATTTTCCTAGTAATTACATTTCCCTAGTATTCAAAAAATTTCTCCTCAACCAAACGACCCCTTAAGCTAAAGCAAAAAAAAAAACTTTAAAAATAAAGCTAAAACCTGGTTGATAATTAATAAAAAATTTAACTTAAAAATTACTTAAAAGCTATTCATTTAAAAAAAAAGCTGATATAACTAAAAAAAACTCCTCGTATAAGCTTTTGACTTTTTTCTATTATAAAAAAAAACTCTTTTTATTATAAAATTTTTTGTATAAATCTGTTTGGTCGAGCTTCTGCTTATAAAAAGAAGAGAAGCTAAAAAAAATCTCTCAAATAAGCACACAGTTCCTTTGCTCGTGGTACTATTCAGCTATTAGGTGAATTGTTTGCCTATTGTGCGAGCGTACCCCTACCCCTAGCCTTGAGATTTGCCGGAAGAGGTGATGCCCCTATCGGAGATGATAATGGGACGTGACTTATGGGCGGAGTTGACTCCCCAACTTAAATAAAGGTTTTTGCAAAGGATACTCATATGGATGACTTCTTGAGTAACCTTGTATATATTATTGAAAAAGGAAATAATTGTTATGTTGTTGCTTGTTTATAAACATTATCATTATTGCATTAGAACATTTATAAAATAATTATAAAGTTTAAAGAACTTCTTTTTTGGATATAATGGTGACACTGAGGTTAGAATCTATGACCTCATGCAAACTACACTAAACTCTTTTATTACAAGACCAATCTTAATGGCTTAAGAACTTTTTTTTGACACTATTTATTATGCCCTCTATGAATCCATGTGACCACCTGTCATCTCTTTTAAAGTTTCCAGATTAACCAACTGTTAGGTAGCAAGCATCGGAGTTTGACTGTGTCGCTCCTTTCTAGTGGGTAAGAGTTGCCTTGTTTTTATGGTAGGTGTTTGGGCCCTAGATTCCCATGTTCTAATCTTCGGAGCCGGCTGGGGAAGAACTCGTGTTTTGACTTAGATTATATTTACTGTGTATAAATGTATTTGTATACTGGAGTTGAGTTACGTCATTGGTAAACTATCGGCTGTGCAGGTCACAATTTAGAGTTCTCGGTTGCCAAAAGAGCTAATGACTTCCTATAAATAAGTAAGTTGCTGTGCTTGGAACCATCATACAAGTTTCAAAACTGTATTGTTGTAATTACTATCAGTAATATATACCAAATTTTCCATATGCATCTATATATAATGACAGAGAAAAATATGAATTACCTTCGCAGGTCAAAATTTCGATTCATGAGAGCTGCAAGTTTGGTATAATCCCTTTCTTCTAATGCTGTCCTTCCTTCTTTTGCAATGTTAGCAACTTCAAGCATTGATGACACAATGAACTCATCACCATCAAGCCACCTTTGTCGTACTTTACTGTGAACCTACATGTCACTGTCTGTTAAAATCTATATATGAAAAAAGAAATTAAGGGAAGCTTCTAATATGGAAAGCACATTCTTATTAGAAGTGTTTTCTCAGAACATCACTTTCATAGAGCTACCTCCAACATACATTTCATTGTAGCGTACAGTGACCAACCCCAATGCCAAAAAATCAGTAGTCAACTTAAACAGATAAAAGAACTACTCTTAGCTCGGAACAGATCCTTCTTCTAATATGGCATGAGGTCATGTGAGACAATCTCAGACATCCACAGACAAATCAAACAGTTAGCACATTAGGATAAAGAGTACAGAAAAAATAACCGTTGATTTGTCTATAGACAGATGAGATCATCTCGGATCTCACCTGGCCAATTGTACCATGATCAGAGGATCTATTTTAATTCTTAGGCAGAGTGCAGATACCACTGCAGACATCTAACTGGGTAAGGATCCGAAATTTTATGAAAAGGCAATGCAATATATTAAGGGAAAAAGGAGTGTCCTTTTAAAGTACCAAAACTTATGTTCTTTTAGCAGTTTTTAGTTATGTATTCCCAAGAATGCATAGTTGTAATATTAAAATTGTACTTTTTTCACTTTCCACATGAGCAGATAGATAGTTTTCGAAGAGAGAAAAAAAAAATACAACTTTAATATTATAAGTATGCATTCTCGGGAATGCGCATAGTTTAAAACTGCTAAAAACTGCTAAAAGGACATTCAATAAACCCATATGTTATATATCTAGAAAGACATATTTCCAAGAAACAAAACATGCAAATGGGATGCAATAAAATCACTGTACAAACCACAGGAAAGGAAACAATAATAACAGCAAAAGAAGAAGGCATCCATTCCATATCACTAACCTTGCCAGAATCACTAGGATTTTCAGCATAGATGAGATATAGAGGGGGAAGGAGACTAACATCCAAGGGTACATAAATTCCGTGGCCTAGTTTATCCATGTTCTCCTTGCTGAAGTCCTATTAAAAAAAAAAAAAAAAACATATGATTTATTTTTAGGTATTCATTCATTCATTCAATCATTCATGATAAACATTTGAAATGAAATTCAAAGAACATAGTAGCATACCATATAAACAAGGCCACCATAAACTTGTGCAACACGATCTTGAAGACCAGCAACAATTCCAAGTTCTTTCTCAGCAGCAAGTACAAGGTTAGGCCTCACCTCCACCTTGATTAGATGCCTCACATTATAGAAATCAAGAAGACAATTCAACGCAGCACATACAATCCCACTAGAACCTGAAAGCCCAGTCTGAAACATAAAACAACAACAATTATCACAAATTTTAAAAAATAAAAAATTATGAATTAATGTTATATACATTTAATTCAACATACCTGGCGAGGGATATTAGTATCATATGAGAGTGTGAAATTATTATCATGAACATTAATATCATTATCTTTACAATATGTATAAAAAACTTTAGAAATTGCCATAAGCAATCTCACTCCACCGTAGTAACCCTCAGTGTTTAACCTATCAACCTGCATGCAAATCAAATCAAATCAAAATGAGTGAATAATCGGAATTAGAACGGGATATTGTGATAATCGGAATAGGAATAGGACTAATTGGAATAGGATTAACCATTTGATGAAGAGAATGAAAGTGAACGAGATCGTGTTTAGGGTGAGGCTGAATGAGAAGCTCCTCCGAGGGACGGAGCTTAACGGTGGCGCAAAAATTGGCGAGGCTAAACGATATCGTTTTGCCATAATACACATCGCTTGGGTTTCCCAGTAAACCCACTCTCGCGTAAACCTTGTGCTCGATCACGCTGTCCTCGTTATCCATTTTCTTTCTCCTTTCTAATTTTCACACTCTCGCTAATTCATCTTCTCTTCTTCTTTCTTTTTTATACTTAATAGTTAATCCTCATTACTAATTAGTAATTAGGATAAGTATCTCTCTTCCCGTAGCCATAGCTATGCCCACGTGGATTTAGCGAATTACACGTTGTCTTTTTCTTTCTTATTCGTCGTATACATCTTCGAGCCCAGCCTCACCTGCTTCAAGCGCATAAAAGTAAAAAAAATGTATAAATGGATTTTATAGTCAATGCTACGTAGTTAAAATAAAAAAATTGTCAATGAATTTAATGATGATTAATTTGTTTATCTAAACTAGACTCGTTTAAGTTTGGGTTTGTTTTTTATAAATTTACTTTAGATAACTTTATGGGTTTTAGTTATGTCAAGTAACAGAAAAATTAGATTCTTTCCTGCTCTCACATGGATAAACGAGCTGCACTCTTTTTTTCTGTTTTTTTCTCTTTCCTGGTGGGTCCCGCTTTAAATGAGTGTGCAAGAACAAAGGTTTGTTTTCCTGTTACTTGATACTAATGAATCCCTAACTTTATCTAATATTCATCAAAATGACGTTTTTTTGGGTGAAAATTATGATATTTTTATAATTTTAATTTATTTCAGTGTTATAATAATCTTTATCATTCTAAATTTTTAATTTTTCAACTCCAAAACGACGTCATTTCGATGAACATTAGACAAAGTTATCTAAAGCAACATTAGATACTTTTTCCCCTTTAAATTTTTATATAAGATAATTTCCTTTATGCACATGGAATCCAACTATTTTTTTTCTTAAAAAATAATTCAAGGCATATCTTTTGATGAATGTATAGGAAATATATTTTTCTCATATAAGATGACAAAAATATGCCCCTATATTTATTATATCAAAATATGGATTGTTTTTATATTTTTAAAAGAAAAACAAAATTAACAATAGAAGAGGTAAACTAAAGGGGTGTATTGGATTGGAATTTTAATGGATTATTTATGGACAAGAAAATTATTCAATTAGGATTTTAAAATATTGAAAAAAAGTCACGGTATTCGATTAAGATTTTAAAAGACTATTTTAGAGTCAGACCAAATCTGTTGGTATATAATCAGAATTTTAAATAAAAGAAAAAGAATATTATGGTATTCAAAAATCACAATTTTAATGAATTTTCTATTAGTATCGTGAGACTTATTAGTGAGAAATATAAATAAAATGTCTCTCTCACAATCTCACTCTAACCCAATGATTTTTTGAGATTTCTCTATTGCAACGTCTTCTTCTTCCTTTTGCGGGTCAACCCGTTCAAAATCAAGTTTCGCCATGGGAGCTTCGTCAAAACTAAAAAGTAACAAATTTATCACAAAACAATCCAAAAACAATAACCCAACAAAATTTTAATCTAATCCATCTCAAAAAATCAGATTTTCGAGAGTTTTTTGAAGTCTAAAAAATAATTTTTTAAGCTATTGGTCACGATTTTTTTGGCACAAAAAATGTTTGATTTTTGTATTAAAAACAACATAAAATAGTGAAAAAATAATATAAGAACAAAAACCCTCACAACCAAATTTCGTTTTAGATCAATGAAACAATATTGATTTAAAGAAAGATTGAAACTTTCATAATATGAACACTATGTTTCATAATAATACTTTCATGAATGAAATTTCTTCGCTATAATATACTATTTCAAACAATTTTTGTATCAATAGATCACTAAAAATTTGTTTTTCAAAAGTCACAAAGCAATTCAATGTTTCGATTAAACTTAATTTGAGAAATTTTCTAAACTTTCATAAAATAAAATCCAGAAATTCAAATTCAAATTTTTTTTGGAATAATCAATGGAAACATGCATATGATATATAGTTAAAAAACTCTCATCACGTAAAGCAAAAACCTCAAGATTTTCAATATTAATTGCAAAAAATTTCAAACTAAATTTTATCATGAATGTTACTGATTGAAAAAATTATATTAGATTTTACTTTTTTTTATCAATATCATTGCATTTCTTTGTTATTTTTTTATTTACTTTTGTAATTTTAAATATTTGTTAAAGATTCATAGAATTTTTTAAAAATCTTGTAAATTCATATTGTCTCTTCGTTATAAATCTAGTAAAATAATTTAAAATTTAATCATATGAAATCTTGATTGAAAAAAAAATCTTTTAAAAAAGTTTATAATGTTCCTCTAATTCTAAATAGTCTTTTAAAATTTATAAGATTTTTTTTATCTCAAAAAAATCTTTTAAAATTCTAATCTAATATATCCCTAAAACACTATTTTGTATCAGTAAGTAGCTTAATTGGTTATACAGGTTGAGTATGTAAAAATAGAACCTGAATTCAATTTTAATTAAATATATCTTTGATAAGGAGTAAATAAATTTCGATTCAAAATTCGTTTCATAATCAATGGAAAGTTGTGGAAATATCGTGGACCAATTCGCCGAAATAATTAAGTTGTGTATTAAAAGAAAAGAAAAAAAACACTATTTTGTGACTGTGACTCTATTCCTTTTGCCATATGAACGACAACACAGAGATGGAATTCAATGATCAATACGCGTAGCAGAGATTAAATTAAATTAAAAATATTTTCTTTCATATTCCACCACCTTCTTTTCTCCATCTCTCAATCGGGGTCGTTCACTTTTCAACCTTCCCTTATCTCTTCCTCTTCAAATAATAATAATAAATAATAAGGATTCGCTTTTTGTGTATTTAGTGTAGATAAATTATGGGAAATGATAGTCTCATGCTACATAAGATATCTATTTCATGTCATACACCCATAGAATTTTGTGCCAATCTTTTCTTTTCTTTTTTCTTTTCTTTTTAAATTGTAGACCCCACATATTTGTATCACCCACATGAGATAGTACTCTCATGTAACATGAGATTAATAAACCCCATAAATTATTGATATCGTTCTACAAATAATTGAAATTCAATTTCTTGATGTGTCTGGAAACTTAAAAAGTTTTTATGTTAAACCCCTATTAACAACCTACAAAATCCTTCAAAATTGTATCTGATTCAACTCGGGTAGTGTGCAGTAAGTCTAATATGATATCGTTTTGAAATAAAAATTATAGTATTTTATAATTTTAATTTATTTCAAAGTTATAATATTCTTTATATCTATAATTTTTTAAGATTTTAATATTAAAACAAATATTATTTTAAGAATAAATTCAGGTAACTTATCTGCAGCAACCAGGAGAAACATTTTTCTCAAATAATAATAATGATAAATAATAATAATAATAATTTTTATATATTTTTATTTTCTCCTTGCAAATACTCTGCTGCTGACTGAACCTATTGTTTTGGATCTTTGATTTATTTTATGGTCTTTTTTTAATGCTTATTGTAAGTTCTAGGTTTGTTGTTGTGTGTCTCTAAACATGTGGAGTTTTATTCTTTGCCTCCTAAACAAAGGAAAATGTTGATTTTGTTCTGTTTTTTTAATGATCTAAGAGCGTGATTTTGGGGATAAGTGTGTGCGTGTGTTGGGAAAGTTGCCGTGTGGTGCACAAGTTGAGTTTTTTTCTCTTATCAAACCCAGAGATTATAGCTTCTTTCTCTGTTGTGATATAGCTCTGGTTCATTTCAGTTAAAGGGTATTTGAGTTGGTTGTTGGTGTGCTTCCATGTGTGTAATGCATAGAAGGGCACTCCCTATTTGCTGAGTCTGAGTGTTGTTGCTACTTGCTTGATAGTTCCACATCTTCTTGAGTGAAAAATTAAAAATGGGATCTGGAAATGAGGTTCACTCGGTTGAGGAGTTCAATTTAGAAGCTGAGTGGCTTATAGATCCTAGACAACTATTTGTTGGGCCAAAAGTTGGGGAAGGTGCTCATGCCAAAGTCTATGAAGGAAAGTAAGTCAAATTGGATTATTTGTTTGTTTATATTTTAATTTTTCTGGGTTCTGTTTTCTGGAATCAATTTTGGTTATTGAATCCTTGTATCATAAAAACTTCTCATTTTTTTTTTGTTATAAGATTTAGCTCAAAGTTTGTTTTGATTTCTAAGTCAGCACTGAGCTGCTGCTGCTCCTTTCATTTAGATTTATATCAAATTTCAGAGTCACGGTTTGGACTAATCTGTTTGGACAAATACACATTCTGCATCCATTAGATAGGATTATTTGCTGACATGTTGAGTTATTCTTGTTGGATTTTCTGATTGCAGATATAAAAATCAGAATGTTGCTGTTAAGATTATCAACAAAGGAGAAACCCCAGAAGAGATTTCAAGGAGAGAGGCTCGGTTTGCCCGAGAGGTTGCTATGTTGTCGAGAGTCCAACATAAAAATCTGGTTAAGGTTTGTTTTTCAAATCTAATTACATATATACTTTAATCAGAACTGGCAAATCATGTTGGTGTTGATGAACTGGGAAAAACTTGTGTCTCATAGAAGGTTCTATTTTTGGTTTGATGCTAGTTTATTGGCGCCTGCAAAGAACCTGTTATGGTTATAGTGACTGAACTTCTATTAGGTGGAACGTTGCGCAAATATCTCTTGAGCATGCGGCCAAAGTGCTTGGATATGGATGTTGCTGTTGGATTTGCTCTTGATATTGCCCGAGCAATGGAATGCTTACACTCCCACGGGATCATTCACCGTGACCTTAAACCTGGTATGCCTACATAATTGTTGCACTTGTTAGTTTCATTGAGTAGTAGCTTGTAGCACTTAACAGAAAAGACTGTGACGTAGCTTTAGTTTTGTGGAGTTTTTTGCATCCTGCATGAGTTACATGTTTCCCTAGGACATGTTTGAGTTGTTAGAACTTTCAAGCAAATTGAAAAATGGCACTTTTTATTTGTTGGCCAATACACTATAATCCCTGTCCAAAATGAAAAAGTGGTTAAAAAAAAAACAACTTTGTTATTGTTCATAGGTTTTACTATGAGCCACTCCCACTATACACAAATAGACTTTATTTAAGGAGACGATATGTTGTAAATTTATGTAAAGTTGTCTTTTGTTTTCTCTTTTATGTAGTGCAATCTATGATCAAACTATCATTACTATCCCTTGTAAAGCCATATTTCTGTGCTAAACATTCTAGGTCATTGAGTTTGAGAAGATAGCGAATATGTAATGTGAGAAACAAAGCTTCTAATTAGCGTGCAATTGATAGTACTATCAAGCAGTATCTGTTCTATATATCAAGGAGCAAGCATAATTCTGAAATCTTGTTTCTTCTTTCCTTGCCAGATAACTTAATTTTGACAGCAGATCATAAGACAGTTAAACTTGCTGATTTTGGTCTTGCCAGAGAAGAGTCCTTAACAGAGATGATGACTGCTGAAACGGGAACATATCGTTGGATGGCTCCAGAAGTACTTCCTAATTGCCGAAACTTTGAACATTTATTGATTTCCCAGATGGGTTGTGCCATATTAAGTAATTTATCATTACTTTCCTGTTTGGTGGCAGCTTTACAGCACTGTTACACTAAGACAAGGTGAGAAGAAGCATTACAACCATAAGGTGGATGCCTACAGCTTTGCAATTGTGTTGTGGGAGCTCATCCATAATAAGTTGCCCTTTGAAGGCATGTCTAATCTACAGGCAGCATATGCAGCTGCTTTTAAGGTAAATGACATTCTGGTGTATACTTGATAGTTAATTCTGCTTAATGTGATCATACTTGCACAATTTATGGCCACTAGCTAACTTCATTCCAATAGTAGAATAGTTACACTGTAAAGTCACATTTTGGAAGGGTTGATCATTTCTTGACACTTATATAAACATATTTAACCTTTGAATTCGGACGTCTACTTCTGCTTGCCATATTATATATTATATTTATCTTATCATCAACATCAACATCAACATCACCTTTATCCCAAATTAATTGGGAAAAAATCACTCCCCGTTAAACCCGACTAGCGAGTGTGGGGTGGAGGAAATCCTTGTACGCAGCCTTACCCTTGCATAATTGCAAAGAGGCTGTCTCCTGGATTCGAACCCATGACCTTTCAGTCATGAAGACACAGTTTTACCACTGCTCCGGTTCGCCCCCTTTTATCTTATCATAGTAAGAAAATTGAGAATTTCCCTTGAAAGTTGCAAGTGCTAGAGTTTCCATTTAAATATGATCAGTGTCCAAATATGCAAAATTTTGATGATCCGACTTCAGAAAAGGACCCCCTTCATTTTTATTTTTTCTGGCCAGAAATGCTCTACCGCTACTGGGTCTAGTTTAATTGTGACATTTCAGATACTTGATACCTCATGGACAACTTCACCTCATAAGTTGTTGTCATTGGGTTATTATAATTTTCTAGTTTTTATTCTCATTCATCTCTGATCTTTATCTGACTATAATCATAATATTACATGTGCTTACGACTGAATATGGTGCTGTTATTCTTGGAGTTTACTAAGGATTCATGACACAAATATTTAATTATTTCAGAATACAAGGCCCAGTGCTGAAAACCTTCCTGAGGATTTAGCTCTTATTGTAACTTCATGTTGGAAAGAGGATCCAAATGATCGACCCAATTTTAGTCAAATCATACAAATGCTCCTTCGATATCTCTCTACAATTTCACCACCAGAGCCAGTTGTTCCTCTGCGGATGGCTTCATCTGAGAATGCTGTATTGCCACCAGAGTCTCCTGGTACAAGTGCATTAATGGCTAGAAGAGATGACTCTGGAGAAACCCCAAAAGCCAATATGGAAGACAGGCCTAAAGGACTTTTCTTCTGCTTTAAACAGTGTTACTGATGCCTCAAAACATATTAAATATGGTCTTTGGGACTGTCCCAGATCACAGTTAGGAAAACTGAATAAAACAAGATTCACCAATTGTAACAACTAGAATCTTAATAAGAATATGTTAACTATTATCAGATAAGTTAGTTTAATAGCAATTACCAATTCAGAAGGCACCTCGTTCTCAGCAAGAATGGCATGCTATTTTAACATTTTTTTGACTCACTTCTGACTGTTATCTAAGGACATCCAGAAAATTTTGGGGTTAAGGTTGCTGAGATGTATTATCATTAACATTGTAAGATAAGGTTCATCCAAAGGCCTTCACCCCTTCTTTATATATGTGGCGTGGATAATAAATGGGTAAAGGGGGAAACTTTTTATCATTGCCAATTTTCCATGTATTTATTTTTGTTCATTTTGATACTTTGCAAGAAATTTAGCATCAATATCGTAGCTAGCAAAACTAGTTTTTTTCATTATAATTTTTCAAGATGTAAAAAGAAGTTGTGATTATACACATTTAACAACACAACACGGACCGAGTAGTTGGAGAGGAAAATTTGGATTTAATTCTTAGGTAGTATTTGGAAGAAGATTTATTTTGAGATTGATGAGAAAGTGTAAGTGGATATTGAAAAATATCATGTTTGGTTCAGGTTTTAGAAAAAAATACTAAACAAATAGAATAGATGGGAAAATGACTTTTGTGTTGATTTTTGGATGAAATTCACTGTTACAGAATATCACTTGAGATGTGGTATTTTGAGATAACTGGGGAAGTGAAAAAAAAAGTGCGAAGTTTCTTCCGAACATAGATTTTGCAAATTTAAATAAATTTTCCTGGTAATATTTCGGTCAACCAAACAATTTTTTTTTACATTTTCCTACCAAACTCACTTTCCAACCATTTTCTTAGGGGGTGTTTGGTTCAGGAGAAAAAATTTTTTACTGGGGAAATAGAATGAGTAGGAAAATGATTTTGGTAGGAAAATGTAAAAAAAGTTGTTTGGTTCGCCAAAAGTTTACCGGGAAAATTGGGTTAAATTTTTTAAGTGTATGTTTGGTTGAAGATAGAATATTGATGGGAAAATTGTTTGAAAATACTAAAGTACCCTTTTTTTCTTTTACTATTTTTAAAAGTGAGTTTCCATTGTGTGTACATAGTATATTATGTGATGGGTAATTGTGTCATTGTATTCTTATGCTTTAATAACTTCTCAGATTTTTTTCCTGAATACCACCTCCTCAATTGCTTTCTTCAACAGTGAAATTCATGCTTTTTAACACAGAAACCAGTTTGCCTAGGGAAGTGACATTGATGGGTAACAAACATGAAATCAGTGAACCAAACTTGGACAACCAAGTATCTAAGAATCACTTTGATGGGAAACAATGGCAAACTCCTCAACCAAACACCACCTTAGTAATTACATTTCTCCAGTATTCAAAAAAATTCTCCTGAACCAAACGCTCCTTATAATAAAGTATATGAGTTGATTCACTTTATGGTTGGTATGTTAAAAAAATAAAAAAGAAGTTGCGATTATGACTAGTGTATGAAAATTTTAAACTAATGTTGAAGATTTACTTGAACTAGTGTATGAAATTTTTATTTTTGCTGCACAAAATTTTTCTTTGCCACATTTATATATAAATGAATAGGTTTTGTTATATTCTATTAGGTTTTTCTTTTTCTTCTCATTATAATGAGATTTACCCATTTTATATGAATGAAGAAAAATTTTCTGCTGCAAAAATAAAAATACTTTTCAAAAAAAATTGTCGTACAAATAATCACTTAAGTTGGCAAGCGCAAGACTAACATTATTATTGTGGTTTTAAAGTAGCCATTTATTTTTGAGTTTTCTTATTAAAAAAATAGAAAGCAAAAATAATTATAACTTTACTACAACGAGCTTGGTATATTGCAATTAGATTTATATTTAAATCTACACCTGCGTCGTTTTGAAACATAGTATGAAAGAATCTTACTATTAACAACGTTAATGCTTGGGGAGCAAGGCAGTCACGACCACACTGTCTCCCTCGGTTTTCGGGGAGACAAGACAGCTACTTCCGAAGACTTATTCAGTCAATGGCGGGTCCCACTGAGAATCCAGGTTGAGGAGAATATCTTCATATTTTCGATACATTTATCATTCACAATATGTCATATATCTTATTTTTTATTTAATTATTTTTTATTTAATTTTAAAATAAATTATTTTTTTATTTTAATTTTAATTATAATAAAATACGTGATCCACTATGAATAAAAAATGCACGGAAAATTCGATAGCCCCGAACAAATTTTCCAGGTTCGGTTGTCGAGTCTGTGAGAGAATTTCCCCCTCACACACACTCACACAAAACACACACAATCTCTTTCTCTTTTCTCGGTAACTTATTCAATACTCAATCTCTTTAAATACTCACAACTCATCTTACCAAACGCGTCTCTCTCTCTCTCTCTTCTATCTTGCATAGCATGGCTAGGTGAGCTTAGCACTTGTGCACTAAGCATTAGCAAGATTGCTATACAAGTTTCGTGTTTTGCTTACGAAGTTTCTATCTTTGGCTGTTTTCTCAACACCCCATTTTCGGTTATCTCTACATGATCTTATGAATTGGTATTGTGGGTTGAAGTCCCTTTCTAGTGTTGATGGGTAAAAATCCAATTTTTCTTTTCTGGGTGGTTTTATTTCGACAACTAGTGTCAGAGGAATGTTCCCCTGCTTGGTTTTTTTTTTTGTTTTTTTATTGGTCTCTTGTTTGTTGCTTATTTTGGTAAAATTAGTTAAGTACACAACGGTACAGTGTGTTATGTTACATCACATCACATGGTTGAGAGTTCTGGCTTTTGAAGTTGATGGTGTTACTGTTGCTGTACGATGGATGGACTGCATGTATTGGCTTTTTTTCCATATATGGAAACTTAGTTAGCTGGTAATTAAAGACATATATACTTGGAGAGTTTCTAATTTTGCTGCTTAAGTTGGAAATACTTTCAGTTCCTTTCTGCCACTGACAGTGCATTATGGGAAGAAAACATTTGTGAAGTGCTAAATAATGATTTGTGGCTCTCAGGATGATTGAAATACAGCCATTGTAGGGCGTTTGGTAGCCGGTATTTTTCAGGATTCTCGGAAAACTGAATTTTTTTAAATTTTTAATTTTCGAATATTATCGTAAACCGAATGTTTTCATTATATTTCTGAAAATCGAGATTCTCGGATAAAAAAAAAATTCTACTTTACCAAACGCCCCATACGGTCATGTGAAGTAACAAGTAACAACCAAGAATGTCTCGTTGGAGTTTCCTAATTTAGTATCTGTTAATGAAAACGTAGGGGTGGCCTGTTGTGATCAAGGACTTAGTTTACGTGACACTGTCCATCAGAGCAAATAATAATCCATGGAAGAAGTAACCTTTCATGCTTTAGTTTCTTGAGTGTGTCCCTTGTGCTCCTCTAAACGAGGCAGTTGGTAGAACAAGTCTATTTTAAGAGAATTTCAAGAGTGACAACTAACATTAATTAGGAGATAGGAGTAATTGACAATGCACATTCTCACATAAGGATATTTGCACAAGGCTTTGTTAATCTATCAAATATTATATTTCATATATATCCTATTACAGGATCTCTACCTGATGATAATATTAAGATATAAGCAAATCTTATTATGATTTTGGGCTGATCTGTTGGGTAAAACACAACTTGTAGTTTCTTCTCTTTCTGTTTTTTAAACCAAACTTCTGTTTAACTATATGTATACGAAGTTCTTCAAGTAAACAATGTTTTTTGAAGGAACGATGAGCTAAAGAGTATATTTGTTTTGCAGGAGCTGGCTTTTTGACATTGGAGGATTTGCAAAGAAAGTGAAAAATACTTCTCTGTCATCAGCTGATCAAATCAAGGACTTTGGAGCATATCGTGAATGCCCAAAATGTCATTACCATATTGATAACAGTGATGTATGCTCGAATTCAACATAATATTCAATCTCAGTCCTTATATTGGTTTTGAAAATGTTGAGATATATAAAAACCATTAATGTAGCCTCACCCAACAGCTTAAGCTTTTGGGTTGAATTGGTTCTTTACATGGTATCAGAGCTTCGGCGTATCGGGTTCGATCCTCACTGCCCCCCACTTTCTTTCTAGTAGAATTTCTTTCTTCGCACAGGTAGGTAGGCCTGTGCATTGTTGAAATATATAAAAACCATTAATGTAGCCTCACCCAACAGCTTAAGCTTTTGGGTTGAATTGGTTCTTTACAGAAAATTACACATGCACCAAAATAGAGAAATGTTATATGTCTATAAGCAATAAACACTGCTCTTATAGTAGAGTTCTTGAAGTTACCATGGAGTATCTACATGCTCCAATTCCTTTAACTTACATTTTACTTCTTTTGGCTCATACAATTAATTCAAGTTCTTAATGTTAAAAGTTTGCAAATTTCACCTTCATACTAGGATTAAATTCTTGAAACAGTTCTGCATAAATTTTGATTGATTGCAGATGTTTCATTAGGAATATTCCTTTTCCTGTGTAGGTTTCTTCTGAGTGGCCTGGCTTTCCTGCTGGTGTAAAGTTTGACCCTTCTGATGTTGAACTTTTGCAACATTTAGCAGCAAAATGTTGTATTGGAAACAAAGAGCAGCACATGTTTATCCATGAGTTCATCCCAACTATAGAAGGAGACCAGGGTATTTGCTACACACATCCAGAAAATCTTCCAGGTGAGGGTTCTCTGATCTTTTCCTTTCAGATATTTAAACATTTACCATTCTTTTCACAATACTCAATTGACTAATACACCAATAAAATGAAGCCAATATGCTAAACCTGACAAAAATATCAAAGAAGACTACTTGAAACCTTCCTGACTTAGTGGGCAAGCAAGGTATTAATAATTATCTTCTAATTCACTTTATACAATCCTGACTATTGAATTTGCTTAGTGACTTGCATTGGCTCTGACCAATTCCAGACTAAATGCATTTTTTCTGGAGCACCTTCTCTAATCAAATTATGTTTTGTTTCAGGTGCTAAGAAAGATGGGAGTAATGTCCATTTCTTTCACAGAACAGTTAATGCATATGCTACTGGACAAAGAAAGCGTAGAAAGATTCATCATCAACATGGTTTGACTGAGGAGAATGTGCGCTGGCACAAGACTGGTAAAACCAAACCTGTAATAGAAGATGGAGTACATAAGGGCTTTAAAAAGATCATGGTACTTTATATAAGATCTAAGAAAGGGTCCAAGCCATATAAATCCAATTGGGTGTTACATCAGTACCATCTAGGGAGTGAAGAAGATGAGAAGGATGGTGGATATGTGGTTTCAAAAATCTTTTATCAACAGAATAAGCAGACTGAGACAAATGAAGAGAGTTCAGTGGTTGAAGATTCTGACATGGCACCGCGAACAAGTCCAAGAACCCCAAAACCAAATCCTCCCAGTCGACCTTGTTCAGGCAAATGTGTTGATTGTGATGACAATTTTGATGAAAATGAACTTCTGTCATTCATCCAGGTGTGTAGCCATTCTATTTACATTTAGTTTGCTTTGATAATTAATTTAAACTTTGAGGAAGCTATGATGATCATCTTGTATGAAATTCAATTGAAAAAGAAAAATCAAATACAACATTCTACCACAGAAACAAGCATAGCATTTAAGATTGCATTTGTATTTCAACTTCTAGTCCTACAAAACATTTGATGGACACATCTAAAAAAACCAGTGAACTTGATTTTCTCTTAAAATTTGTTGTTAAGTACTAATGAGAATAGAAGTAAAGTCATACAACCTTTTTACACTCTTTTTCCAAACAACTACATTCTTTGGTTTGTTTTTGAAATGTCAATTTATGAACTAGGATGCCAAGTCTATACCTGGAATATCACATGCCCCACCATCTGTTATTCAAAATGAGGACAATACTGGTGAACCTGCATGGTTAGCTGGTGAATCACAGGCTGTTGTTGAAAACTGTGACTTTGATGGCTTGGAAGACATCTTATTATGCAAGGAGATGTTAGATTCTTCTACCCTCTTAAATGATTCTGGATTGAACTCTACCACTTTCAACAGCTTTGCTTCCGGTGCAAATAATTTGGCTGGAAATGATGATGTATCTTATGGAATTTCTGTCCTTGACACCCTGGAATTGGATACTCCTCCAGATTTTGATCTTTCTGTAAGCATCAACTCAATCTTCTATAGTTTTCCAATATATTATCATTCTCTCATTGCTCAGTGATTCTCATTTTGCATGCAGAATTTGCAATTTTGTTCTCAAGACAGTATCCTTCAGTGGATGGACAAGTTATAAGGTGTAATTGTGAAGCATGTTCTACTTGATGCTGATGCTTAATCCGAAAGTTTTCTAGGATAGCTTGTATAGTACATTTATCTATATCATTCTTCAGTTGCAATGATCTTTCTGTTCCTACATGCATGAAGCTCAGGTTGTCACCATTTGGTGTTACAAGCAAAAATTATATGGTGTCTCAGGTTTCGGACTGTTGCAATTTCTAAGTGATGTTATAAAGCTAAACTATTAAGCTGATGAATATGGAGAAAACTAACAGTTCATTATGAAACAAACAATTGAATGATTTGTTTTTGGTTCGTTTTTTCTGTTGCAAATAAGTTGTCCCCCAATGCGACGTCGTTTTGGAGCGGAAATCATGGTATTTTTGTGATTTTAATTTATTTCGGGGTTATTATAGTCTTTATAATTATAATTTTTTAATATTTCAATCCCAAAACGACGTAGTTTTGGGAGTAAATGCAGATAACTTATATGCAGTAACTGCAACAATATTTTTCTGTTTGTTTTTCATGTCAACTAGTTTTATATAGGGTCCGCTTTTTCTGCCGCTACTGCAGATAAATTATCTGCAGTACCCCAACGTCGTTTTGGGACGGAAATCATGATATTTTTATAATTTTAATTTATTTCAGGGTTATTTTAGTCTTTATAATTATAATTTTCTAATTTTTCAATACCAAAATGATGTCATTTTGAAAGTAAATACAAATAACTTATCTGCATTAACTGCAGAAATATTTTTCTGTTTTATATATAGCAACATTCACGATTTGTTAAATTACTAGTTTATTCAATTATGTCTAGCACTACATTTTATTTAGATTATGCTATTTTTGTTAGTTCATAGTCACAAACTCCACGGATATAGTTTTATATTAAATCATCAACTTGAGATTTTGCTAATCAATTCAGCCCACAATTTTTAATAATTAATTTTTTGTACATACAATCTTGTGCTTTAGAATGTTATGCAGTATTAGTTTAGGGGTGTTCATCAACCGATTCAAACTGCGGTGATCGAACCGAAAAATCGATAATCGAAAAATCGCAAATTTTAATTAGATTGGATCGTTTTTAGTTTGGTTGGTGAAAATCGATCAAATCCAAATCGATTCAATATATTAATTCTCCTCTACTTACTTGGGTATTTCTCCAATCATAGTCCAAAAAATTCTAAACCCAAGACCCACTAACCCATCATCTAAATCCAAGAAAAACCTAGGTACATCCCATCAGTCAAATTTCGTCTGTGCAGAGTTTCATATCTCATTGCCCAAAAAAATTAGATTATAGTTTGCTTATGCTTCTGTATTTCAAAAAAAAAAAAATTACAAAGTCAATACATACAAAAGATATGTTATTTGCACAATAATCATCAAATAAATTTTAGGCTTTTCAAAAAATAAAAAATCCATCCAATCCAAACCGAAAAAAATTGGATCGGATCGGATCAGATTTGAAAAAAAATCTAAACCAAATAGATAATTACATAATAAAACCGAAGGGATTGGATCAAATAATTTTTTCTTTTAAAATCAATTCAATCCAAACCATGAACACCCTAGTCTAGTTCTATATCTAACCCAATTCAACATATTATCATTAGAACTGGGTCAAATTTAAACAATATTTACAAGGTTAAATTTGGCTTAGTTCTTGTGATTAAATACTTTATTTTGAATAATAAATGATGCATCTCATTCCCATATTCCGCACAAGCGGTACACAAATGATTAAATTGAGACAAATTTTGAGAAGTAAATGACTAATTTAAAAAAAAATTGATCTTGAGAAAGAAATAAAACGAATAAATTTTCCGCTTAGCAACTTGCCTTTTAAGAATGGATTATTTTCTAATTTTCATTAAATGACCTGGAATATTCATCCAACAATTCAACTGAATTATGAAAAGTGTCACATTTGTATCACGTGCTAAGATAAATGAGAACTCCAATTTTTGTTTATACCGATTTTCTTAGAATATTAATTTAGTTTTTAAAATATTATTACATCAATTAGGTGCCTGAATAATTTTTAACATCAAAATAGTTAGAAAGTTATTATTAATTGAGATTAAATTAATAACATTTGATGATAATAAATAATAATTTGAAGAAATATTTAACATTTGGATATACTGTTACACATCCTAACCTAACCAGCCCAAGTTCATCACATGGCTAAGAAATAATTCATTTTCATAATGTTGTTGATGAACTAGTTAGACCTCGAGGGTTCAATTCTTATTTTGAAGATTCTCAATATCCTAATGCAGAGGTCATGAATGAGATCATGCATGAAAAGATAAAAACTAATCAGTCTTAGTATGATACTTTTTATGACAATCTTAATTCTGAACAAAGGAGAGAGCTCAATCTGACACCTAAACAATCAATCCTGCACAACGATTACAAAAGAAAAAAGTCATTTTTAAAAAAGTCACTTTAGTCAAAGCTACTTTAATGATTTGGATTGTATCGTGCGAAAGTCAAAAATTACTTTATCGTTTTGGATTGTAGTATTTTGTCAAAAAGCTACTTTTTAGGCCTTGGATTGTAATGTTTTGTCAAAAGTAATTGTTGGTGTGCTATTATTATGTCTGTCTATGATGTAAGATTGGAAGTTTATGTTTTACTTCCTTGTCTATAAATCGAAACTTGTTATTTATAAGAAGGAAGATACTGAACTAGAAATAAAATTAGTGTGTTCTTATATCCATGAATATTTTATAAGTTTCTTTTTTCTTTCCGAAAACCTAATATAATGTTAGGGAATAAAACATCTGTTATTGCAGCAGAACTTTTTTTTTCTTGTATCAGACCCAACAATGAAGAGAGAGAAAGGTGAAATATTTGAGAGAAAATAAAATGGTGGACCCTAGCTTATTTTATGTCTCTGCTGCTAAAATAAAAGTTCTTCTGCAACAGAAAAAGTTTTATTCCTCACCCTTGAACCCGTGGCCCACCCTCACTTAAGTGGACCTGCCACTTGGACATCATACAAAAAAATCACATTCTCTCTCCTTCCTCACCCTTGAACCCGTGGCCACCATTGTAGAGGGTAGGAGTTTTGCTTGAAACTTTGATCCACCAAAACACACCGAAATACTACTCAAATCCAAAAGTGTTGAACATGAAAGTTGCTCCAAATTAGCTTGTGAACAACTTTCCTTCCTTGTGTGAGCTACGAAATTGAGTGGTTGTGGAGATCATCTCCCTCCATTGGTGGCGGTTTTGGCCCATTTTGGTGGTGGTTGGTGGCGGTTTTGGACTGTTCAAATGTTGAAACTCACTCTTGGGTTGCCTAGGAGTTGATTAGTGGTAAGCATTCTCACTCATTTATGTTTTTGAATTTGAGTTGTTGATGGTGACCTAAGAGGGGTTGTTTGATTTGTGTAGTTAGAGAGCTTAAATTGAAAATGTGTATTAGATAAATATGTCTTAGAATGATGTTTTAGAGTGATAAATGCAATAAAAATTATTGATGAGATGTTTGGTAACTTAGGCGAAATTTATGGTGGAAATTCAAGACTTTGTGTTTGGGATTGTTGGTAGGATTGTGTAAATGAATTGTTGGATGTTTGTATGAGTTAATCATAGGATTGTAAGGTGTGTGGAAGTGTTGAATTGGATTGGAAACCACTTGGTATAATTTCCCCTAGAATTCGGCCATGTAGGGTGTTTAGGGTCCAATGATGAAAAAATTGTGTAATTGATATTGTGTAATGTTAAATGGTATTTTGGGGTGTTGGGAGGTGAATGTATGCATGAAAAATAAATGGAAAAATAATTGGATTGTGTTGGAATGTGCATTGAACCTAGAAGGAAATAAATGGAAAAAGTGGTGTGGTGATGATGTAGGATGTAATGTGGCACTTAAAATGACATTGTGGTAGCCTTAGGATGCTAAAAAAAATAAAATGTAAGGAAATATTTTGTAATTTTACACTATGATGGCCGAACCTCACATTGGTGGGGGGAGAATTTTGATGTTTTGTGAATTTGGTGGATTCACCGCGTAATGATGATCCGTGTATGATCAATGTAGGTTGCCTCCCACGAATTTGAACATTGAACCGTGAGCTCGGTGGGTTGCCCTTGTATAACACCTCACATTTCTAAAATATAATATTTAAAATATTAAATGAGAATTAAAGAGAAGGATTAGTGAAAATCCTGAGTATAAGGCCAAAATACAAAGAAAGGGCAAAACGGTAATTAGCCAACACGCAACCCTAGGAAGATAAAAATTGAGCAGAAGGTCTCCGATGATAAAAATAACCCTGGAAATGGATTCAGAACGAAAAATTGAGTTGATAGGCAAGTTTCAGAAAAATCAGTGAATAGTGTTTTTCGCGGGTAAAAATACCGCGTTACGATTGCACCGTAGAACGTGCCAGTTGAATTTTGAGCTCTAGGTTTCAAATATGAGTTATAAATGGTTGTTGAGTTAGGAAATATGATTTTGATAAAATTTGTTGGAATTAAGTCATTTTGGGGAAAAAAATTAATGAATAGTGATTTTCGGTGTAAAAATACTGCGGTATAATTGTACCGATAAGCGTGAAACTTTTATCAGTTTTTTTAGGAAACAAAAATATGACATAAACGAGAAAAATACATAGGAAAGGAATTTGTGGTTGAAATTAGTGATTGATTAAAGTTAAATCGCGTGTAGGACCCACCTATGGCTTAAGTGACTTAAAAGTCACATTTACATGACACATTCTCTCTCCTCTTCTCCCTTCTTCCCCGTGGATCAGCCCTCCCCCTTCCATTTTCGTTTTTTTTATTTGTTTTGTTTGATTTCTTCATAACTTCATCAATTCTTAACCGAATCGGACGATTCTTGTGTTGAAATTCGATGGAAATCACCATCCGAACCCGTTCCACCGATTAGTTTCCCTTGAAACCCTCTCTATGGTGAGAAAAGAGCCATATACAGCCACGAAATTCTTAGGATTTTTGTGATTTTGGGGTTGATTTCTTGAGCCATTG